CAGCATAATCTCTTCCAGTCCCGTCCATGTTGCTACAAAAGTTGGGTATTCATCCTTTCTGATGGAGGCATACTACTCCATTGTGTATATGGACCACATCTTCTTTATCCATTCATCCGTTGAAGGGCATCTTGGTTCTTTCCACAGTTTGGCGACTGTGGCCTTTGCTGCTGTGAACATTGGGGTACAGATGGCCCTTCTTTCACTACACCTCTGTCTTTGGGGTAAATACTCAGTGGTGCAGTTGCAGGGTCATAGGGAAGCTCTATTTTTAATTTCTTAAGGAATCTCCACACTGTTTTCCAAAGTGGCTGTACCAACTCTTAAGAAGTAAGTCACGAGGTGACATTAGTTCTTTGTCACGTTAGCATCTTGGGCTAGTCACTTGACCTTTCAGACTGGCCCCTCAGTCACCTCCTTGCAAAACTGGGGTACTGAAATCTCTAGAGAGTTGCTGTGACGATTAGGTAAGTGAACTAATCTATGTGATGTGTCTCTTGGTCTAGCCCAGACTCTTGAATTGAGACACTGCTTCTCTGGTAGTTTCCATCTGTTGCCCCAGCACTGGTTCTTCAATGAGGCCGTGCTCCAGAGTACCCATTCTAAAAAAATAAAATTCTTGAAGTTTAGGAATAAGCATCAGGGTGGTGCCCAGTAATCCCTGTGTTTAATAGATTCCCTTGGTGATGATTATGCACCTGTTTCAGTTTTGAACATGTGCAAGGTTCACTTTCCCAATCCTTTCATTGGGATTGTTTTTGTACTTTGAACAAGGGGATGGGATGGTGTATCTTAGTTAACGTTAATGTTATTTCATGGGTTCTTCCATGGTTTTGATCAAACATTTTCATTGCTGCGTAGTATTCCACCATGCACTTTACTGTAATAAACACTTGGTTACATCAGTTATAAATTGAACACAATTGGTTTTTCCAAGAATACTGTTCTTACGACACCAAACCAAACTTATAAGCAGTCTGCTAAGAGAGCTGCGTACCAATTCCCTGACTTTATGTCCTGTTGTTTGAAAATATTGTCTGTAGCTCAAAACCAAGATCAGATTGATGTAATTTCTGAATTTGAAAATTGTGCTTTAGGGTTTTGTGTTTTTTGCTCACTCCAAAAGTGAACCATTCTGTGTGGGGAAGATATGGTTGTTTGCAATTTTTCTGTTCATTTTGTCCTTTTATATGAATTTAAAAAATAGTCATTAAATTTACCTACCATTTTAACTAAATTTAGCTTTCCCTCTTTTTAAAAATTATTATTCAAGTATAATTAGCAGTGTTATATTAGTTGAAAGTGTACAATTTATTGATTCAACAATTCTATACATTTCTCAGTGCTTATCAAGATGAATGTACTCTTAATCCCGTTCATCTGTTTCACCCATCTGTCCACCTGCCTCCCCTCTGGCAACCACCAGTTTGTTCTCTGTATTTAAGAGTCTGGTTTTGTTGCTGTTGTTGTTGTCTTTTTTTTCTTTTTTTGGTCTCTTTTTCTAAAATTTTCATTTGTTTTGTTTCTTAAATTCCACACGTGAATGAAATCATGTGGTATTTCTTTCTCTGTTTAACAGATTTCACTTAGCATTATACCCTCTGGTTCCACCCATGTTGTTGCCAGTAGCAAGATTTTATTCCTTTTTATGGCTGAGTAATCAGTATGTGTGTATGTGTGTGTGTGTGTGTGTGTGTGTGTGTGTGTGTGTGTGTGTGTATCACATCTTCTTTATCCATTCATCTATCAATGGACCCTTGGGTTGCTTCCATATCTTGGCTATTGTAAATAATGTAGTAAATATTGGGGTGCATATATCTTTTCAAATTAGTGTTCCCATATTCTTGGATAAATATCCAGTAGTAGAGTTACTGGATCAGATGGTAATTCTTTTTAAAAATTTTTGGAGAACCTCCATACTGTTAACCACAATGGCTGCACCAGTTTGCATTCTCACCAACAGGGCATGAGGGTTATTTTTTCTCTGCATCCTCACCAACACTCATTGTTTCTTGTATTTTTAATTTTAGTCATTCTGACACGTGTGAGGTGATATCTCACGGTGGCTTTGATTTGCATTTCCCTGGTGATTAAGCATCTTTACGTGTCTTTTAGCCATCCATAAATCTTCTTTGGAAAAATGTCTATTCATGTCTTTTGCCCATTTTTTGATTGGATTATTCATTGTTGTTTGTTTGTTTGTTTGTTTTTGTTTTTGGTGTTGAGTTATATAGTCTTTTTAACTAGGACTCCAAGGCATTAGGTAACACCTGCTTTCCTTGTCTTTTATGTCATCTTCCCTGTTTTGTTGCCTGCTGATGTTCTGCAGACCCTGTTCTAATCTCAGTAATAATTACCAGTGACCTAGGGCTTTTCCGTAAGAGGTTGGCCAGTTGGTTCTTAGGCAGTCTCTGGCTCTTCACAGAGTGGCTTTGCTTGGTTATTACCTGGTAGCTTCCACACATGCATGCATGTAGTCTTCACATACCTTAGCTAACAATCCTTAACTATGTTCATACTCTTAGTCCATCACTGTATTAACATAATGTCAGTTTCTAACTCTTTCACAATGGGTGGTGCAATTCCAACTGGTCCGTTAATTCCAGGCTCTTATATTTGTAGTAGCTCTTTATTTTTGGCGTACCTATTATAATAATAATGATTTCCATTCTCTGTTACTATTAGTGCTATCATTTAGCTATTTCCATCATTAACATATATATCTTCTGCATTACAGTGATCCACATTTTATCTTAATATCTCTGTTTTAAAGGGAAGGTTGGTACTAGAACAGTCAAGAGTGCCTCTGAAGGTAGGATTTACTATTCGTACATTTCCTCTCCTGGTCCTATATGTTTTAAAATTCTGATTGGATATGAACAAACAATAGGTTGCACCTAGCATGTCAGCTGGGGCTCTGCAGTCAGAATGCAGATTTTGGCCCCACAACTTTTCTTCAGATAATTAATTTTCAAAAATAGGGAGCACTGGGTGTGGTGCATAAACAATGAATTCTGATACACTGAAAAGAAATTAAAAAAATAAAAAATTAATATATAAAAAATAGGGAATATGAACTAGATAAATGGTACTAAGAAGAGTTCAAAAAGTTTATTTTGCAATTGGCTGCTTATTCTTGCAACAAAACAAAACAAAAAACAAAGCAGCTCATGTAGGCTGCTCATTTAATGGGTTTCCTGGTAGGAGGGAAATCATTAGGACTGTTTCTACTCCATCTCAGAAGAAAATACATTGTGTAAAGAGGTACATTTTTGTATCTAGGGCATTCACATGGCCTCTATTCTGTTAGTTTGTAGTTCCAATAGTGTTGTGCATGCCTGCATTGCATCTGTAGTGGTGAAAGTGGCTGTGATGGTCATGCAGTGGTGGAGGTGTTCATAGCAGTGGTGGGATGGCCTGGAAGTTCTGGTTGTGGTAGCTCCTAAGATAAGATGGGTTACCAAATATGTTAGACAGAAGTAAACTTTCCCTTCTTCCCATCTCGACTTGGACCTGTTTAATTTTCCCAGTGTGGTGTGATGCTCACCACTGTGTAAGGACTGCATTAGTGAGTGGGCAGCCCTTCTGCTTTCCTCCCCATGCTCCTTGTTCCTCACTCATTCTGACATGCTTTCCCTTTGGCCTTCCCTTCTTAGAGAGATGCATTCTTACCATCACCTTTTGCCTTCTAGCCCTCAGCTGTTCTCTCTGCCACAATAAGAGTCTTGGAAAGGGCTCTTAATGTTGCAAGGAGGAAGCTGAGTGGGAGTTGGCAGTAAATAGACTGGGTTGGAAAAAAAGAATTGAGGAGATACGCTCAGGCCCTTCCAAATGCCGGAGGCAATTCACTTGTTACATTTCACGTACCATGAAGATGCTAGGTTCTAATGGAAGCTGTTAATGCCCAAACCACTGATGCTGCTTAGGAAAATGACATGTGCTGAGCAATAGGTGTTTTGAAGATTAAGTTGTTGTCCAATCCTATTGTTTTTTATTTTTGTTTTTGTTTTATGTTGTTGTTTTTTTTGTGTGTGTTTTTTGGCTTGGAAAAGTGATGAAATTATCAGGTCTTGAGGTAAGCGATGGTTGGATATCACCAATTTTATATGACTTAGGTTGATAATAGCAGACATTCTGTGACATCTACTGCAGTAGCATCTTGGAGGAAAATTTGTGTTTTTTCTACTACCTAAAACTAAAGTTGCTTGACAAGTTAGAGAGGAAAGTAATTTTTGTTGTTTTTTAAAATACAGTTTTATTATAGACTTAATTAATATTACTATAGTTAATATTGTGGAACTTGTGGGTTGCCTGGGTGGCTTGGTCAGTTAGACATCTGACTCTTGGTCTTGGCTTGGGTCTTGATCTCAGGCTCATGAGTTCAAGTCCTGCAAAGGGCTCTGTGCTGGGTATGGAGCCATTAAAAAAAATATTATAGGACTCATAGTTCTTCTAGTTCTTAATTTTTTTCTGAATAAGAAGAAAATAAGAAGTGTAACAAAGTATAAATTTGATGCCCTTTAAGAAAATTAGGAACTACCAAACACACATAATTATTCATGCATCAGAGTTATTCTTCCCCTGACAAGAGCCAAGTCTTAAGTTCTTAATATGCTTCAGTTATATGGTGTATTTAAGAATCAGCTTTCAGGTCATTAACTACTTGAGGGATTAAGAAAGAAAGAAAATTGAAGTCATGTATTCATTGAGGATTAATCTGAAAATAAGATGAAGAATCTCTGAAATCCCAGATGCAGCTAATGGAAAAATGGTGAGTTTGTGAAATAACTTCACTTATGAAGAGCACTTATGGAGAGTTTGTTTGTGGTACAATTACTGCAGAGATGAGAGCACTCCTGAACTAACTTTATTTTTTTTTGGGAGAAGCAGTATTATCATGAAGTAACTGGTTGTGTTTTCCTAAATCTGTCTCCTTTCTTCTAAGTTTTCCTCTGTCTTTTGCTTTTTTAAGGTTTCCATACCTGGACTGTCAACTAGGGCAAATTGTCACCAATGGCAGTAAAACTCCTTTTCTGGGGGTCAAGGTGAGTACGTGGCTCACTATTATTATTTCATTTGACTTGGGTCCCTGGCATGCAAAGGATATAGCTGGTGGTAAATTTTTGATAAATATTATCAATGAGAAAAGTCAATGAAAATAAATTCTGATATGGAAATTTACTTTAATTTTGCTTTTTAAAAAAAATGTGAGGAATCTGGGGCATCTGGGTAGCTCAGTCAGTCAAGCATCTGACTCTTGATTTTGGCTCAGGTCATGATGTCAGGGTCGTGAGATTGAGCCCCGTGTCAGGCTCTGTGCTGGGCCTGGAGTGTGCTTGAGATTCTCTCTCTGCCTCTCCCTCTGCTCCACGTCCTGCTCACACACACATGCTCTCTCTCTCTCTATAAATAAAATCTTTAAAAATTGTAAGGAATCTATTCAGATATTGATGAAATTCAAGTTCAAGCAACATGGTTGTTAATGATGTTAAATTTGAGGAATGTGTCTATAATGGATATCTCTTTCCTAGCGGTAATTAATCTGGGACAAAAGGTTATCATTTTATTGTTAACATGTGTTTAGTAATATCAGTTGACAAAAATAGGACAAGAGGATGCAGTTAGTACTTAGGGGCTTGCTTTGAGGAGAGGATGTGGTTGATAGCTGAAGTTATTGAGAGAGAAAGCCCAGATTGGTGGGAGGGGGGGTAGTTAATTCAGTGCAAACAGAGTTTATAAAACCAAGAGCAGACGCTTTAGTGAACAGCCAAGACCGCAGAAAGTTTAAAATGTTTGAGAGAAGCTTTTCCAAGGGCTGCTGCTGGCCCATATGGCATTTTGTGCAAATTAGACAAAGGCACCCCTTCTACAGACGTTTTCCTTCCATCTGATGGAAAATCATTGAACTATACTGATTTTTAGAACAAGACACTTTCTTGCCATATGCTGGAAAATTATAATATAAATAATCAAATTATCCATCTTTAAATCCTCAATGTTGTAACAAAGATATACAGTTTTTGAAAGAGTAGAGATGCTAATGATGTGATTAGTGGCCCCTTAAATGTGGCGGACTTGCATAGTATACAACTTGAACAACCACCAGGCTGGCTTTGCTTTGTTGGGATTCAATTCAGGGTAGACTCTAAGGAAGGGAAGCTTGTTATTAAGTGTGGTCATTGGGGACAGAGGAGAGAAACAACAGTGTGGGGTATGGCTTTCACTGGACACTTGGGTGACATGGAAGAAGCTTAGAGGGACAGCAGCTTCTGTGGTTTTGGTAGCCTGAGATTTCTAGGGGTAAAACTAGGAAATGAAAACCTAAACTTGTATGTTTATATCAAATTTAAGACTGAGTTCCTGTGATTTAGTGATATAGAATATGTACTTTCTGAGTCCCAACATTACTCAAGTGGGCTTTATTCTGTAGATTACCATTTCTGTGGTGGTTGTGTTCTCAAAGACTATTTAAACTTGAGTGTTTTTTTTTTTCTCCCCAGTTAAAGGAAGTTGTTTCAAAATGTTGAGGGTGTTCAAAATGGATGGGTCTTCCCTACTTAACAGATATTTATTATTTATTTATTTAAAAAAAAGATTTTATATATTTATTTGTTAGAGAGAGAGACAGAGTATGCACACAAACAGGGGGAGCAGCAGGCAGAGGGAGAAGCAGGCTCCCTGCTGAGCAAGGGGCCAATGCAAGTCCCTGGGAACAGGACCTGAGCTGAAGGCAGACGCTTAACAGACTGAACCACCCAGGTGTCCCTTTAACAAATTTTTAAATTAATCTTCTGATGAGACAAAAAACTGTTAAGTTAATGTTAATGGGTAGATATTGATTGACAAATACAGGGTAAGGAGGATGCAGCAGTATTTTAGGGTGAGAGATAGGGCTACAGGTGGAGAAGGTGGCTGATAACTTATGTGTTCTTGAGGACGAGAAGAACAGATAGGGGAAGAAACTTAATGTGATATGGATAGATGGTAATGGTTGTGGGAGTGTTAAGAGTGGTGGTGGCAGCTGCAAGGGATCTGGTGGAGGGATGGTGGGGGCTGCCGTCATGTTGACTCCTCTGAAGGAGGAAATGGAAGGTGGGGAAGATGCCAGGTCATGGAAACAACCAACAGGGCCTGAGAAGAAGCTTTTGCTTCCTTGATGTTCATGAAAGAATTGATTAGAGGGAAATTCAAGGAGCTCTCTTTCGTGGAACGCCAAGCTAGTTTTCTCATTTTATCATCTCCCTATCCCTTCTTCCCCCAAAGGATATTACTTACATTAAGAATAACTATAAAGAGACTTCAGAGAATTGTTGTAATTCCAGTGAACATCAACGTTTATTTCCCATACCCCTTCTCACAGCCCACCTTTCTTTCCTCTGTGTTTGTGTGTCTGTGTGTGTGGGGGGTGGTTGATACTCTGAATACAGAAGTAGAGGAACACATGTTCATTCAGAGAACCATTTATAGAGGAAGGAGCCCTGTTATTATTTACATCTGAAACCTTTCTTCTCTACCCCGTCATACGTACATGATCTGTGTTTTGAAGAAAGATATTATGTAGATTTTTTTTTAAAATGACTGAAGGGAGCAGAAGGAAAATGGGTGAATGGGTTAAGGAGGCTTTTATGAATCAGTACCCTCCTTCTCCTCCAGGTAATTGCTTAGATGTCTGGATTTTATGTCTGTTTTTTTCCTTTGCCTTTAGAATACCAACGGAAGAGTGAGAGTAGGAAGATGTTTTAGGATCTAATATTTGGCACCTGTGATATTAAGCTAATAAATTCATTGTTCCTTTTTCCTTACCCTTCAGTAGGGAAAATGACATTTGCAGTTAGAAAATGCTAAAGAAGTCTTTGTGAAAGCACTAGCCTAACAAATGTTAAAATGACACAGAATAACATATTTAACAACAATGCAGCATTCTCATTGTCATTAATCTCCATAATTTTTGGATTAAAACAGTTGTCACTACATGATCCAAATGATTGTCTCGATTATTTTATTTTTATTATTTTTTTAAGATTTTGTTTATTTATTTGACAGAGAGAGATCACAAGCAGGCAGAGAGGCAGGCAGAGAGGGAGAGGAGGAAGCAGGCTCCCTGCTGAGCAGAGAGCCCGATGCGGGGCTCGATGCAGGGCTCGATCCCAGGACTCTGAGATCATGACCTGAGCCGAAGGCAGCGGCTTAACCCACTGAGCCACCCAGGTGCCCCTCGATATTTTAAATCAGAGATTCTTTATGTTGATTATATAAAGATGTACATACTCTGCTGTGAGAGAGATTTAGACATAAAGCGTAGCTCTTTAAAAAGGAATGTTAGCAGGTTCTCATGTGATGGAGGTGGTTTTATTAGGTATCTAGTGCCATGTACTTAATGGCTGCTTAATGGAGTGAAATCACTTGACAGTGTTTAAATGCTAATAATATGTGACACACAGCGAGCACTCACTTGCTCTGGTGCTGTGCAGAGCCCACCACACTTGTTTTCCCCATTTTCCCCTTAAACACCCTGTGAGGATGCCATCACCCTCATTTTCCAGTTGTGGTGTGTGCAGCCAGCCATGCCCTTCACCATGACGTTTGCTGCGCTGCCCCTTTGGATGCTGGACGAGATCCAGTAGACTCCTGAAAGGGTTTTCCCTTTCTCAGATTCCATGCGTTTCAGATCAGCCTGTCTCGGCCCTCATAATATGGAGCCCGATAGCTTCATACACAGAATTGTTTTAAAACTGAGCAAACAGTTCTATCATTAGAGGGCACCAGCTGAACAAGGCCAGAGGAAGCCTAAAAATAAATTTGCACCACATAATGAGATGTGAGGGAATTGTCCGTTGCAATTTGTTTCCCAGAGGCCTCAGAGGTTTTTAAAGAATATGTTGGCGCTTTTTTTCCCCCCACCAAAGAAGGTCCTGTGATTCTAAAATATCAAAATGTCAACTAGGACTGAAATATCCTCAGATGTTTGAGGATATGAAGAAACTCAGCAGTTTGTGTGTCTTATTTTCTGCTTTAGCATTATTTTGAGGATAGATTAGAAGCCCCAGGGTCTTAAAGTCCATTATTTCAGGGAAGGTGGGGTTAATATTTTTCCCATATCCATCTTTTTCTTAGAAAACACAGGAGAAGAGAAGGCCAGACACATTTTTAATATTTAAGTTCATAGACCCAGAGCCCAGAATTTTCGGGAATTGGTTGTTGGGGCGAGGAGAGGCAGAGTCAGTAAACGTTACCTTGTTGATCCTGTTAAGATGATAGAAACCACATAGGTTTGTTTGTTGTCTGTTTTTATATGTGCACAAGACTGCACAATTTTCCGCGCACTGCTTGCTCATACTGTTAGATACACACTGTTATCTGGCCTCTCTAGCTGGAAATTAAACCTGTGTTCTGTTTGAGGCGAGGCCAGATTTTATTAAAGTAGGTCATCAGGGCACACACACACAGGGGCCTGGATCACACTGGCATTGTGGCATCTTTGGTAATTAAATGGGTAAACACGCCAGTAGGCAAACGGAATGGCTTCCCTCCTGCTATTCGAGGCAGATAATAGGGAGCTGGGTGATACGGGAACACGTGTCCAGTTAATGATGATTTACAATGGGGTTCCTGGAAGAGTTCCTGTGATACTCATGTTCTGTCAGATGAGTTCATTGTATTTAAAATTATCACTGAAATTACAGGAGAATTTAAAATGGTTGGGTTATTCACATGTTTTATGAGTTACTTTTAGTACATTTTAGCACAATGTGGATTCCTCCTACCCCTTTCCTCTTGGAAACACTGAGAACCTGAGCTGACATCAGCCATTTGGCAGGGATTTCCTGGGGGTAGCAGCTTGGGATCTTGGGTAGAGAGATCAGCTGGAGATCATTTCCTTGTCCTTCTTTTGAAGGTCGAGTTTGGTTCTATCTAACGATCAGAGAATGAATTAAATGACTTTTTTTTTAAATGGCTTTTTAAGATTTGCCTTTGTCTAAAAAGGATTTTGTATTTGACTTTTCATCATATTTTTATGGTTATTATTCCTTGTGCTTAGCATCCT